GAACGGGGCGGGGGGGTACCTCGGGCTCGGTGCCGGTCGGTCGCCTTGCTGCCAAAGTTTCCCCTCGTGTCCGTGACTTGAAAGTTCCCTCATAACGTCGGGTGCGGTGGAGACGGGCGCTGAAGCTCGGTGTTCCGGCTGCAGGCTTCCCCGGGGCCCTCCCCCAGCGGTGCGGGGCCGGGGGCGGGTTCAGGAATCCCCTCCTCTGCCTTCAGCTTCTTCTTTGGGGTTAAGCTTGCGTTCTGACGCTTTGAATCCCCAGGCGTGCTCGTTAAAAGTCCGTGCATAGGAAGAGAAGGATACAAACGAGAAATTAAACCCCTCCACACACACACCCCTTTATAAACGGATCCCGCTGCTCTTAAATATCCCATTGACTCTAATGTCGACTTCTTGCCTTTTTCCTCCTACTTCCTGTGGCAGAATTATGGATCCAAGCTTATTGAGAGAGCGAGAGCTATTCAAAAAGCGTGCCCTCTCCACACCAGCAGTAGAAAAACGTCCAGCGCCATCTTCTGACTCCTCCTCTTCCAAAAAGAAGAAAGCAAAGGTAGAACAAGGTGGCTCGTCGAGCTCAAAACAAAACACAGGTTGGTGGAAGTCTCCCGTTCAACAGCTGTGTGGTGTTTTCCACAGTCTGCCTCTCAGCTATGGTTTATTAGCATGAATCAGCCGATCTGCAAATTTGGCTAGTGGCCGTTGTCATTCTTTCTCTTAAATCATCGCTTTTTGTTAACAATTTCACTTGCGCAATGGGGAAAAAAACCTTTTGCTACCACATATGCGTGCCAGGCCTCATCCTGTTACTTGTTTGGTCAGGTGGAGGAATCGCTGCTGCCAAAATGTTATTTCGTATAAAGCTGAGCTTTGATTTGTGGATTTTGGTGCTTGCCGGGCCTGCAGGACAAGCGGTAACAGCGGTCTCATTCTTTTTCTCTCCTCTGTTTTTCTGGCAAGGGGGCACCTACAAATTTTTTAACCGTAAGTTGTAGGCGATCCACCCGTGAGATGGATTTTGCAGCTTGCGTCTTGTCTGGCTAGCGTATTGTGATGAGCAGTCGTTCTTGTTTTACCTGAGAGCTAATCTTTATTCACGAACACTGGGGTTTCTGTAGGTTTCTGTCTGCTTTGGTCAGGAGTTTTGTCTTTTCCGACGGCACCGGTAACGCATCTCTCAATACCGAATTAGTGGTTAATAAAGCAGCACCGGAATAGTGGGAGCAAATGAAAAGGGCAGCACCTGGAGCAGCGGGGAGAGGATTTGTGTGCACGCAGCAGCACGCTCTGCGTTGGCTTTCACTGCGCGAGATGCGTAACTCGGGGGGCCTTTTCAGTTCTCTGAAAGCACTGGTGGTTCTCGCATAACGGTCGAATCAAACGTCAGGAGTTACTAAAACATAAAAAACCCCGTTGTGCAACCTCGTTGAATGCTCGTATTTTGAATACCATGTGTGGCTCTCTTCTAACCTCAGAAAGAAAAAATAGGGCTAAAAACAACAGAGAAAAACGTCAAGGACGATGGGAGGAGTGGAGCATCTTCTGTCTGAGGGGAAGAGTAGGGAGTTTGCGTGAGTATCTCCAGCTTCTCAGGGCACCAAATAAAGTTATCAGCCAGACATTTAAAAATAAACCGAGGGAGGCCAGGTTTTCAACGGTCCCTTTGCCACACTCTTCTCTCCGAACAAAATAAAATTCTATGTGGAATATCCTAACCTGCATAACCTGAGTGAGAGCAGTTTGCTGGGAAGGAGGGATGGGGAGGCAGGAAGAGGGCCCACAGTTCAAATGGGAGCCTGTTCTGGATGATTTGAGTAGATAGGCAACCAAGCAGCACAGCAGATAAAGAAGGTGTAATGTCATTTCTGTGGTTTTGTGGGCTGCGTGTTTCTTTAAGTGCTTTTGCAGCTGTCAAGTGATTAGCTTACACTAATAGGAATGTGTGGCTGTGAGGAAATAAGCTTTATCTTTTACGCTGCTGGCTTCGTTCCAGATAGTGTCAGAAAGGTTCCAGGGTTTCTGTAACATTTTTATGCAGAATGAGTTCAGCCTCCTTTCATTTTCCCCTGGAGAGTGTTTACTAACTACTGCAGAAGCAGCAAGGATGGAAGAAAAATAACAGAGAGCGAGCGGGCCAACTTTCTTCCTCTTGTTCTCAGGAATTAGCTCCGAACAAGCGTTCAGGCTGGCAAGCGGCTGAACGGGTTAAGCAGCCGCAAGCAGCCCCAACTGCCCTGTGACGCTGCAGAGTCAAAGTCCTTTGCCTCAAAACCTGCTTTTTATTTGAATCACCAGATTGTTCGGTGTCTGTGAGTATACGTGTGTGCCAGAAGTGGGTCTTGGGGAGGTGGAATAAAAACACCGTGTTGAAGAATCCCTGTCCCACCACACCCACCCCCTGAAGAAATGAAAATTAAGCTGATCAGTCCTAGTTTTGTTGTGTAGTGACCACAAAGATGATAAATAACATCACGGTGATTACACGCTGGCGTTGATAGTCCCTGGGTGTGTAGCGCCTGCAGGTTCTCCCTTGTAAGTTACTTGAAAAAATTCAAAACTGCCTTGTTTACTTGGTTCAGAATGGTAACTGGGAAATAAATGAAATGGATCGTGTATGTTTGTTATTTTTATTAATGAATAGCAAGTTGTGGCTAAGGTCTTAGTCTTCGTTGTAAGACCTTTGTCTTGATGGTCTTAGCCAACAGTAATCAAGAGATGAAATCTCCAGGAGCTGTTTCACGACTTAGTTTACACATGGGAAAGAATTGTCCTGAGGCTCTAGGGCTGTGCAAGGGGAGATCTTTGTCTTCTGTTCCCTGTGCAAACACCCAGCCTCCTTTATAGATCTGTGAAATAAGGAGGCACGTTAATTAATTCAGCACGCCCTGATGGCTGCTCTTGCCTCTCTGGAGCAGGACACCGGTCTTTCAGGACTGACGCTGTCAAATACAGCAGAAAGTAATGAGGCATCAACCCAGAGTCCCTAATCATCACTAATATTATCTTCATCGTATGTCTTGGTGTGAGTCCTAAGCTGTCTCGTACTTGGGGCGTCAGCCTCCGTTAATTGTGCTTATAGTTTGATTTTTAGCTAAAAGCATTCTCTGCACGTGGGACCGGGACTGGCAGAGCTTCACAGTAACAAACGTATCTGGGATGAATGGTTGCAGGGGTAGTCGTGTCGTTTTATGATTGCAGAAGGGAGATTGCTTCTCCGGGTGAATCGCTGGACTAGCTGTGCTGGTTAGTAGTGGCCTGAGTATCTTGTAACTCCATCTCACCAGCCAGGAAGAGCATGAGTCAAATTAGCAAGTCTTTCATTGTGTCCAGATCTTTTGGAGCTTAGGCATACTGAACCTGATAGAAGGAGTGTATATATTAAAAACAAATAATAATTCTAGGTACCGGCCATAGCACAGAGGCATTTCTGACATGAATAGACTGCAAGATCAGTGTTGTAGCTTTCTTGGCTATCTGGCCATTAGGTGGGTTTTGTTTTATTTGGGTTTTAAGTAGTTCAATATCTTGTACCACATGTAGCTTTGGCTTGGGACATTTCTCACTGGCCTGCTTGTTTATGGGTTCAGGAGTGTGAAAGACTTACCAGGCGTTACCCATGGCCACACTGTTGGACACTGTTATTACAGTTGTAATCTGTAACTGAAAAACTTTAATGCTTTTAAAAAATTAGAGATGCAACGCAGCTACAGAAGAAAACTAATCTGGTGAGCGAGATGTCCCAGCGTTACGCAGTCAGTTTGTGAGAAAGGTGTGAATGTGAGCTCTCTGGAATGCATCGGCAGGCTGATGAAGCCCTCTGAGATTCTCTTGTGAAAATGAAGTCGCTTCTCGCTGTGCATCCATCCTGCTGTCTCTAGCTCAAGGCTTATCCTGGTGCGGCCTCTTCTGTGAAGCACGTCGACACCTGAAAGCTGCGTACAGCCTGGGCAAAATTGTCCTGTCATCGGTGTGGGAGGTCTGCGACCCATCTGCTTGTGTTCCTTGGCAAGAACTCGGTCAGTTCCAGTTCAGCTTTGAAAAGTTCAGATGTGGATGATATATCCAGCACATCTGACTCCCTGCAGTGTTGTGGTTACCGTAGAGGCAGCAGCCTTGGGGCAGAAAAAGGTCCCTGTTTCTTCTAAACCGTACTACCACTACAGTATGCTTTTGTGGAAATAGATATTCTTAAGGTCACACCATTAGTCACATCTCCACACCCAGAAGTTGTTAAACAGGTTGAATATGAAGTAAGGGGAGAGCGATTCTCTGAAACGGGAGGAGGGGAGGGAGAAAGGGTCAAACTGTACCACAGGAGGCTAGAAAGACCATTCTAGCGATACATTTCACGTTGGCTTACTTTTCCTCCCACCGCCCTCTCTTCTACAAGCAAGGAACCCCTAATAAGACCAGCTGCCAATGGCAAGAATGCGCATGAACCTCTCCCGTTTCATGGGATCTCTCGCCATTCAACCCTTTCACCTCATATCTTTTTTCTCACCCTTTGTATGTCTTTCCCGTCTCTGTGTGGTTGACCTCAGTGGAAGGACGCTGCTGGGTGTTTGCACTATGTGTGATCAGATGGTTGACATTTTTATAAACGTTTTCTGCAGTTAAGCAACGTAGTTTTACGCATGTTAGGTGACATTTGTTCGTTCGGGTAGACAAAGACCTATGCTAGTAACTCAATATAAACAACAAAAGTTAATTTAGACACAAAAATCTTTTCTTCCCTCATAACATTGCAACAAACCATCCTTCTGCTAAGCACTCAGAAAGCCCTTGCCAATTATTCAAGTTCACATCCAGAGATAAAATGATAACTGTTGCTGTTACGTTTAAGTCCAAAAGAAAAAAAGCATGTGACTTGCTCATTCGTAAGGTACAAGAGGCTTCCTTCAAGGTGTTACACGTTCTTCAAGTGCTGATGCTCAGTCCTTCCTACACCACCTCTGTTTCACGCTTTCTGAAGCTGTTCATCATTGCTCTAACAGGATTGGGTTCGTTCTCCAAGTCTTTCACAGTTTTGTTTTTCACACAGCAGCAGCAGTCTAGCAGTTCATAGAGGAAGGCCAACACCACCAGAGAAACTACAGTAAAGATGAATATGATCAGAATAATAAAGCAGGCAGTGTTCCAGTTATCATGGAAAGGGTAAATTTTTTGCACTTGAAAGCCCAGATACTGGGAAATGGATGTAGTGTCATTCCAGTGAGTGGTGTTGAGGGTTGCCATTCTGGAAGGGTTGTCTTAGCGTGCTCACTGTCACGGATTTGGGGACTGAAACAGAAAAACAAAGCTGTTGAGGACTCTGTTGATCAAGAACATGATGTGATTTTTATCCCAAACGGAAAGACCTTAAGCTCAGACTAAGTGCTCACACCTCCTACAAACATGGATTGTTGCATGCAAAGTATCAAACCCCAAATGTACAACTTTGTGATTTGTCTGGAACGTTTATTTTGCTGATGACTGGTCTGTGCGTGCATCGTGTGGTGTAAGTTATTCTGGAATGAGAGAGCTTTGCTGCTTTATTTCAAGTATACACAAAGGCAAAAAGGTTACAAAGGTGATTTTGAAGGTGTAATGTGGTTTCAACCCCCTGTCCATCCTTAATCTTGAGATTGGTACTTGGATGTTGTGGAAGTCCTCGCGCTCTTTTGGCATTCTGAGAAAAACAGGCCATCTGCGTACCACCCTCCCATACCTGGGTGACTGGAAGAACTTACTATGAGTTAATGTCGTTGGAGTTTGTTTGCTTGTTGGGGTTGTTTGGGTTTTTTTTTTTAATCCTATTTGGGAGAAAGAAATAAATAAATCACTCTGTAAAACAATGTATAAATAGTAACTATTTTGGAGGATGTTTCCAAAGAACGGAACTGAACTTTTGGTGGTTCTTCTAGTACAAAATAACAATCCCGGTTCTTTAAAACTCGTTATTTTAGAACTGTCTATTAGCACAGCCTTGTTAACCCTGCAAAACTCTTTTGACCTCAGAAGGACAGATTTCCTGAGGTGTTCATTCCCCTGCTGTTCCTGCTGTCGAGTAGAAGTTTGCGCTCAAGAAATCCAAGCGCAAAGTTGAGCTGCCCGAAGGGCACTGAGCACCTTTGGAAATCTTGGCCCGTTTGTGGTGCCGTGGTCATTAGAATAGATAACAAGGAAAACCCAACCCTTTTCTGAGGAGCCCTGATTTCTTATTTGCACCTGTATTCTCTACTCAACTGCTAAGAGAAGAATGTCATCTTTGGTCCGATACTGTCTGTACCCAGAAAAAAGACTTGCTTTGTGGTGTGGGGGAGAGATGAAGCGAGAAGTTGGCTTCAGCCAGTCTGCCTTTGGCGCGAATGGTATCGCTGTCGAGACGTGCCGTTTTGGAAAGGCCGTTGCTCAGAAGTGTGAAGTTAGGCTATGCCTCAGTAATTTCTGTGGTATCTCTAGGACAAAAAAGCCGTTTTGTCTGTCTCTGAATTTTGCTGTGAATTATGGATAAGTAGGCAGATGAGGTGCTTGGCAATAGCATCTTTACAGTTATGCGTCTCTCTTTCCCCCGGTTTCCTTATTTCCCTGGCTTTGCCTCCCAAAACTGAGGGAACTTACAGTACTTTTGATATATAGACTAACGTAGTAAGAAATGCCCAAGGAGCCACAGTAACTTCTGGTTACCTGTCGTAGTGTACTGTAGGATGCCTTTGAATCCTTCAAGTGATTTAAAACTGGGTGTGGGAGGAGATCGAGTCAGATCTCCATATTCCCTTGAGGAAATAGCAAGGAGTTTTTAGGTGAAACACGGTGGTGAGCACGCTGACGGGCCAGCCCCGCATGTCAGACTGTCGGTGAGTGCCTGCCAGCTAAGGGGCACCTCCCAAAATGTGCTTTTGTCTGCTGGGGTGCCCCAGAAAACGTGGGATTAATGAAGGGGGAGAGAGAGACGTGATGGTAACTTTGTAGAAACCTGACGTCTTATTTCCGTGCCTCAATGAAAGATTTTTTTGCTTTGAATATAAAGCAAAACCCTAGCTATGTTCATTACAAAATGGTCCTGGCTACCCACTTTTAGTTTAATTTCATTTAGTAATCAAAACTACAGAATGAAGGGGTAAGGCTGATGTTTTGTTCATTAAACTGTGCTCACGGGTAATGCTTTAATGAACCTCGCGTACCCCGGAAATAATTCTGCAATCGCCCTGTTCAGACAGTGAAAACTACAAAATGCCTGAAAAAATGGGAAGTGACAAAGGCGAAGCGTGATGGTGTCTACTAAACCAGATTACTTAAAGCAGTCTAAGCACCTGTCATGACTTTCGTGTCATCATTTAAAAAAAGGATATTATGAAAACTAGGATGCAGCAGCCAAACCAGCTTGCAATTTATGGCTTATTTTTATTGTTCAAATAGTATACATTTTGTTCTTTATCCTTCTGTCTTTAATGGATTTAAACTGAAACGGAAGAGCTTTGCTGTTGGGAAGATACCTGGAATTAGCATTTGATACAGCCATTTATTGGAGCAATTGCAGTGACTCACTGTTTCCTCAGTTAAATCTGTAACTGAACACATAAATTTGTAATTGAATGCACAACATATGACCGAGATGGATAGGATTAATTGGGCTGTTGGGGTTTTTTCTTTAACAAAAGTTGACAAAGCAAATCCAAGATAGAAATACTCCTGAGCTGAGCTGGGTCCTGGCTTTGAGAGCGTGGCTTGGTTGGGTCACTGTCTAGGAAGGAAATTTTATAGGGCTAAAAGTCAGGAGGGTTTTTGAAGGGGTGGTCTGAAGACTTACTTGAAAAACCGTGTGTGAGAGAGAGAGAGAGGGCTGAATAAAAGAATTTGGAGTCCCCTTTGAGGGGTAATTAAAACAAGCAGGATTTGAATGTGTGTTTTAAATGGCAAGAGAATATCCTTGGGAAAGTTTTGGTTTGAACTTTTTAAAACAGTCTCCTAAGACTGAGGATTTTGTTGGAATCCATTACACGCAAGTTTGCTCGCTCCGTAAACACCAGGCACAAAAATTAACTGTTTCCGCTGATAGGAAATGTATTATGTTAGTCATCGTGATCAAGATGAGTCAAAAGAGATCAAGATGCAGGGCCGAAGGAGAGGCTGGGCACGTTTAAATTGCGTAGCCGGGGCCCTTTGCCGGCAGAGCTCTCTGCCGAGGCGATAGCTCTGTTCCGGAGAGGAGGGGAGCATCTTCGGCACGGCGTGGCTCCCTAGGCAGGAGACCCTGCC